TTTTTTTTCCCTGAAACTAAAGAGGACTCAGAACACAGGGGGTGCGGTGGAAGTATTAAGGTGGGGATGGGTAGGGTAGGTGGCCTATCCTGTCAGGAGGACAACCGTTGGCTGCCGTTGCCAGCAATCACTGCGGGTCTGGTCCTTGGCCTTTACAACACTCTCCTGGGGCATGGTCCCACTTGCAACCGGATAGGATAGAAAAGAGTTTGTGTGGCAGTTGGGTGACCCAAATCCTGCCGTGCAGTACTCGTGATCCCACGGTCAGTATTTTACATGTATTACCCGAAAAAGTAAGGAGATCTTGGTTCCCCTCCTCCTCTCCTTAACACTGGGCATGCAGGTGCAAAGGAAGCTTCCCGCCAAAATCTTTTCCATCCGTTGGGGGCATGGCCAACCCCAAAAGAGAGCGGGGTTGGCCATAGGCCCACTGGATAGAAGATTTTCAGTATTTTGCTTGCTGTTGTGCAATTATCTCATTGGGTGGAGCCCTCCTTCAATCACGGAGTATATGGAGGGCGTCAGGATCACTGCTGACAGAAGTTGAGTTTATTCCAGAAAATGTGGCAGTTACCGTCTGCACTGTTGTTGCAACCACCACCATCAGATCATTTGTGATCTGATGGCTGGGAAGCACTCTGCCGTGATTTCAGGTGGGAGGCCCTTCTCCTGTTTTCTCACCCCAGAAATTCGTAATGAACCTGTCAGGCCGCTGCCACTCAGTGTCACACTGGATCGGCCACACTCCTATCCTACTGCTAGTGAGACCACACCCCTGGGCTTTGAGAAAAAGAGGACTTGGAACTGGAATCTTTGTTTTGGTTTTTTTTTTTTTTTTTTTTTTTTTTGGAACTGTAATCATACTCAAACTAGAAAACTGAACTGGGACACAGGGCCTGATTCCCAGCAGGTGCCGCCCCCCACCAGTAGATGGAGCAGCTGGCAAAGGTCCTACTAGGAGTGGCTGCTCATACCGCCATTCCCAGTATGTCCAGCTTGCTTCCAAAAAAAAAAAAAAAAAAAAAGAAAAGGAACTGCGATCACAACGTGGGCAGCGGCTGTGCCCTGGAAGCGTAGGTGAAACTGGAACTCCATTCCCGGCTGGAACTGGACCGGAACAGGGCTGGAATAGGACCGGGTATCGACTGAAAATTGAAATAGATTGGAACTGGATTGGGACTAGGAATGGAAACATATCCAAGGTAGAAATGGAACTGGAGTGAAAATGGGCATTGAACAGTGGAACTGCGCTGGAACTGAACTGGAACTGGGCGGGAGCTGGAACTGGAACTGGACTTGAAATGGATCGGAACTGGCTTGGGACTGGACTGGGACTGGAAATGGAACTGCGCTGGAGCTGAACTGGAACTGGGCTGGAGCTGGAACTGGAACTGGCTTGGGACTGGACTGGGACTGGAAATGGAACTGCGCTGGAACTGAACTGTAACTGGGCTGGAGCTGGAACTGGCACATTTCGGAACTGGCTTGGGACTGGACTGGGACTGGAAATGGAACTATATCTAAGCTGGTAGGGATGGAACTGGAAGGTAAACATGGTACGACTCCGTACGAGGTTGCGGGGAGCACCTGCACCTAGAAATGGACCAGCATCTCCAACCCGGAACTGAACATAGAGCCATATCCGAACCCCAAGGGGATCGCCAAAAAAAAACAAAAACGTGGAAGTGGTTCCAGCATGGAACTAGAGACCTTTTTCGCGGGGGGGGGGGACTGAAATGTGCTGAGGTTATTACCTGAGACTTAAGCTGGAATCGGAACGCAAATCTGACCAGGAACAGACGTCCGACGGCAAGCGGGGCGCTACCGTACGTTGATTACCTTGGTAATCGCAGATGCCGGTGTGCAATCCGATCAGACGGGACGCGGAAGTCGTCCGGCGTCCGTGTGGCTGACTGTAATATATTCTATACACACACACACACA